TTGATAAGGTTTCCCACTCTGGTCTTAAATTCAAACTGAAACGTTTTGGAATCCATAACACAGTCGTCGATTGGATAAGTAACTTTCTCCATGACAGGAGACAAAGGGTAAGGGTTAATGAAGCTCTCTCCTCGTGGGTACCTGTAAAAAGTGGGGTTCACCAAGGCACAATCTATAGGTCCTCCTCTCTTTTTACTTTATGTAAATGAATTGCCAACTGTAGCAAAATCATCCGTTCTACTCCTCGCTCATGACATAAAGATTTGGAGACCCATACATAGTATGTCGGATAGAATAGTATTACAGGACGATCCTAGCTCATTGGTGGCATGGTTAGACAGGTGGTCATTAGAAGTAAATCCTAATAAGAGTGTATTGATGCAGTTAAATAACTCTGATGAATCGTATGACTATACACTACGTGGATTCGTGCTACCCAAAGCAAGAAACTATAAAGACCCAGGAGTTACATTAAGCAATGATCTCAAAACGACTAGTCACTGTAAGGCTGCTGCTGCAAAAGGCTATGGGGTATTTTGGTCAATTCGTAGGTCTTTTCAGTATTTAGATGATGAAATGTTTGGATTACTATACCCGATTTATGTGCGAACACATTTAGAATACGGGATTCAAGCAGCGAGTCCTTGTTTCAAATATGAAGCAGATATGCTAGAAAGAGTCCAACGACGAGCTACTAAGATGGTACAAGGTCTAGCTGGCCTATCTTATGAAGACGTACTGAGACACCTTAACTTATTTCCGTTATCTTACCGTAGATTACGGGGTGATCTAATATTGGCTTATCGTATACTGAACGATGACCTTGGTATTAACATGTCTTATCTTTTGCTTCCGTCTAGAACCGATCATTTGAGAGGAAATTCGAAGAAAGTTCAAAAACCGAGATCAAACCGTTTACGTCTGGAGTCCCGTTTCTCGCACCGAGTAGTGAATTACCAGAATTCTCTACCGGAACACGTAATATCAGCACCGTCTGTTAATATATTCAAAACGAGATTGCACCTCCACAGTATTACAAACTTCAAGGATTAATATAGGTCGACAGACCTCCTATCCTTATTACTGAAGACTGAAGACACTACTTCCGATTAGCGTAACTTGTTGATTGATTCATTGTAAATTGTACTATGAAGGTTGTGGTTACTCGGATACCTACGTACGTGTGGACTTTTCAAATATCGTACTCATTATGGTTAGTTCTCAATATCGTAAACTTCACTAAACAGTTCAGTAGTCCTATCTTCTGTTAATAGGGAGGGTAAAAAAATAATGCATTTGTAACAACATAAGCGGCGATTGCCTATTGAAAATGCTGCGATTTGAAATTATAGATACATTTTATTAAATGCACAAGAAACCACTGATTATTCGTATTCTGACGGACACATTTATTACGTTAGCTCTTCGATAATAACTGGTTATTCACGACTCCATGACATGAACGAAACAGAACTTCAACGCTTAAGCGTTATTTAGTTAGACATTAATTTTCGAAAATGAGCTCTTATCAAATCGAACCGATGTTTAATCGTCCTTCAGTATATATGAATCTGTTTTAACATCTGGCATGACAGTAGGAGAAGCCAAAAACATTTCTAACCTTTCTAATAGAACTGGTTAGAAAGACATCTGACCGTCTAATTAAACACTTAAGTGTCTCTTCACTAGACTCTTTTCGACATGTCCGAAATTGAGGCTCATTGCTTCAATCATACAATACAAATTTCCTCTGATTTTTTTGAAACTAATACTCTTAACACACTAGCTATTAAGTTTGAAACCGAGTCCCGACGGAAGCATTTTGAGTCTCATTTATTGTGTAACCATGTGAGTAGTGTCAGTGACTGATTCATGACACAAAATTTACTATGGTTTTCTTCCAATGACCGCCAGTTTATTCATTCAACTTTGGCTTACCAATCCTCTTGGAGTTCTCACACTGTCTTTTTCCGTTGATCGACCACTTAAATCATTCTCTATGTAACAGATTTCTAGGCTTTCCAGTTTCACTGATATGGTCAGGTATATAAATATATATATGTAGATTAAGGGACTGAATTACTTACTTTATAGATATGTGGACACGTTTCGTGAAAATACCCTGGATACTACAGAATTAGACAACTCTGTTAACCAGGTTTCTTGCTACTGTTACCTCAAGGGTAGCCAATGAAAACAGCAAAGTGCTTTCCGTGAGAAGTACATTTGAGGCAGAGGTTCATAAGGTTTTCGAATTGTCTATTTAAAGAAGGTAAAGGGTTTGACATCAGATCATGTTGTGGCCTTGTGGTCAAACTTCATTGAAGTCCTTCAGTTGTTGATATCTACCAAAACTGAGGAAGTTGGAATGAATGCCTTGGGATTAACTTAATAATGCAGCCTACTTCCTCCTTCATAGGAACATGTTAACACAATTTGTAGATAAGAAGCAAAAATAGAAAATTTATAAGGGTACGTTTATTTCAAGCATTCAATTATTGGTAGACAGATAATCATGGAACCGAAAATAACTTTATGTAACACTAAGCTGGCACACCAACTAACTCACCCTAATAAAGGTGGTTTATCTTGTATACAAAAAATGATGTTTGAAATACAAATATTAGATACACGAACAATTAGAGTTCAGATAAGCGCACACAAACGAGCATATAAAAAAGGCGCAAGGCTAGAACCTAAATTCTTGACAATCATATATATGAAAGTATAAGATGTCCTCACATAGGTGTCATAAATTGTCTACGTTCTAGGAGCTTCACGGGTATACTAGAACAAATTTACTCTTTCTGTTTGATGAAAACTGTTTGAGTCTCTTTAAAACACATCATTTCTACGTTTTATGTGATTATTTTGGCGATGTCGTTGTTGGATGACGTAATAAGTTTACCATGAGCAATCTACGCCAATGTTCTGATTTTTTCTACCTTTTTGAATTACATGGTACTTTGATTCGCGCTTCAAAATCTCACTGAGTGTTTCAAAAGCGGCCTCAAGCGGTTATTATAAAGAATCGAGACGTTCACAAACGTGTTTATTATGTCGTAGAGTGGTTGAATACAGAGAAAATTTGACTAATATCAGATTCGAGCAGACTTCAATGGACACATGGCGTCTGTAAGTTTTCTCTTGTAGGGTATTAGATCAATATTTAGAGATGAAGATGGAGTTCCCACAAATTTTCCATGAAGTTGAAGAATTTTGGATGAACAAGTTTTACTGCAATACACCTAGCATTAACTTTCATTCGCTACGAAATCCGAGTAAAGAGACTGGAAATGCGTCTGCTAATGTTATGTGTTTACGGTTGGAAGAAATACCCTGAGCAACTGATGAAATGATCTTAATGCGTCATTTACTTGTAAGCGCTAGGTAGTTTCCACAAGTCTAACTTTACCTACAAAGTTAGTTAGGACCCAGAACGATCTAGATTCAAATGAGCATCCTCAATTTGCTGTGAGTTTTGATAAACAACTTGGTTTAGTGGTATGCTGCTCAACAAGACTACCTGCAATAAATTCAGTAGTAATGTACCTGGCAAATACTGTCACTGCTCATTGTAAAAAAAAGTCACTACATATTTGTTTATGGAAAATTCTACTTAATTCTTGAAGAGGCCCTACCAAATCAACGTGGATGTGATCAAAATGTGTCGTTTGAGTTACATGGAGACCCAAAAGATATATTTTATATCTGATACCATTAGACTTCTGGCCCCTTGTACAGGAAGATTTCTAAGTCTTTGAAGTTTTTATGCATTCCAGGTCAGCGAAATTGTTGAGCAATGAACTCGACGATTGCTCGAATATACATATGATATACATTGTTGTGACTAGATTATTGCTTTCACTTATAAATTATGTTAGTTAAAGATTTTAAATGATCAATGTCTCCTTAATTTCGACAAAATTAGTGTTAGTGCAGTCTAGAAACTACAAGTTAACAATTCCTGAAACTTCTGTCAATCATTTACGGCTATTTTCTAGATTTTAATCCTTTTGTTTAATTATTTTGGTGTCATGATATCTGAGCGCTTCTTTGTTAACACAAAAGTAACACAATAATTAATGTTATTGAAGAATCTCAAAATTATATCAAGGAGTTATCCTTTATTCCTGAATCTCAACCGTTTTTAAGTCTATGTCAATCTATGGACACTATTTTTATACAAACTTATTCTTTCAACGTCCATAATCCATCAGTTGTTTATTTTTGTTTACATAGACTGAAGTTGCAAGTCGCACATGTTCACTTTCCTCAATCGATGAATCTTTAGCTAGGCAATTGGCCAAGGTTCACTCTGAGCAAGTAAAAAAACAAAAGTTGCGTCAGAAAATTAAAAATGAAAGGTTAGCTATTACATTGAAATGTCCAGGTACCATTTTGTACTAGTTCGTATTTTGCATTTGGGTCTTAGTAACATGAAATAGTTAATCTAATTTTACTTTGCTAGAAAAGACAACCCTTATTAAATAAAAAGTATACATATTGTTATATCCGGTGAAGATTAAGTTACAGGTAACTCCCAAGGACTATTCATGGACTAATATTCTATAAATATTCTTATTGTATAACTACTCAACAATTACACTATGTATATTTATATTCCTCTTATTATAAGCTTTATTTTGACCTATATTATATTATTGTACGACTTACTGTCCCTAAATTATGCTCAGTCTATTAATTACTGTCCCCCTCATTCACAGCCACTTTTTGGCTTATTGTGTACAAATATTATTTCCTATTTTATGGTACGTTGTGGTCTGTCCGATTGATATATAAACCGGGTATGTCTGAAATAAACGATCTGGTCTGATCTGCTCCGATTCGATTCATATTACGGAAGCTGGTATTGTGTTCTGGACTCAAGTGGAAGGGCTCGGAGGACATAGGACCAATAAGGACGCTAAATTGCCCACACCGGTTGGACGTCATTGGTTAGCCTAGTGTGAGGATTCGTATAAGTCTTATTCGGATTGGTAGATAAATCGTGTGATAGAAAAGACAGACACCCAAGGTCATAACACATATGAAGATTTGAAAACGATTTAATATTTATCTGACATCACAATATGATTTTTAAAATCCAATTTCATAAATGAAAGAGTACAGAGGTGCATGGATCTTTAATTTTGTGATAGATTGTTCTTCACTTTTAATAAAAGTTTCCTGGTCTTCTGAATAGAAAAGCGCCTATTATTAGTAAATACCACGGGCTTATTACAACTGAGAAAGATACAGTAGATAAAATAGCTTGTCAATTTTGTGGCTTAACAGTCGGACATTTGAGAATAGCCGAAATAGTTGAACAGTATCAGACTTTGAAAACCAAGAAGAAGCAAGCATCTGCTTCACTTCGTTTGTCAATCCTTTATAATCCTGGAACTAGGAGTCCGCATGGGTTTGAGTTTAAGAACCACTGTTTTTGTGATGAATACAACTTTGTTAACCATTGATTTAGGATTCATTAGTTCATCATAACTTCAACGAATTTCTCATATGATGCATTCTTTATCATTGGTTAATCACTGTTTTTGTCCCATCAGTCTAACTTCAGTATAATAGGGTCAATTACAAGAATATGCAGTAACGTAACAATATTATCTCACACTTGTCTCTAAAGTATAAACCTCCGTCCTCTCTATTAGTGGGCACTGTCAAGATATTCCATGCTAAGCCAAAACAGCTGCCAAGTGTTCCCTGATATGTAATGACTTTTTGACCAGAGTTTGTTCGCAGTTAAAACTATTCTTAAGCTATATTAGTTCTCACAAAACACCCGAATAAATACATCGATAAAACTGTAGAGCCTGATGATGAAGTTAGTGAAAACAATTGTTCGCTCAAATTTTCTTAATTTTTGAACATCAGTAACTTTAATTTATCTCATTTTCATTTACTATCACATTAGTACGTAAATTAGTATCTGGTTAATCAGTGAAAAATGTAAATATATATGTTAGATGTTATACTGTTCATCTTTTTATGGTGCATTTGAAGGCTGTTTGTCAGTTTAATGAATTTCTATTCTTTGATTTTGCAAGCATTGAAATTCGTGAACTTGAAAGCAAACTACGAAGTGCTTATGTAGCTAAAGAACAACTAGCACAAATGGCCGAAAAACGTGCTCTTGCTTATGACTTGATGGTCAGTAAAATGTTGTTATTTTATTTCTCTCAGGACGATACATTATCACTGATTATTTTTCATAAACGCCATATGAACTGATTAAATTTGACCAACTAAAAGGTGTATCGAAATGATTTAAGTATCACGACCAATAGATGGAGTTAATTAGTACGAAACTATACACCTTATTTTAATGTTGGAAATTAGAATTAGAAAAGTGAAACCATTTCATTGTCTAGCGGACAATCCTTTCAATCTTATAATGGAAATATTTCAATTTTCAAATCTACCACAGAAGTATGGGTGATTCCCTAACAATCAGTTATTTTTTGATCACCCTCATTAAAATAATTTTTAACCAAACACATTTACGAAATATTATTTATTTCATTCAACAAAATCTAAAATGTAAAGTTTGATTTTTTATGCTAATCATTTTTTCTCATCAAAGTAACCTCCTTTTACTCACCACTTAGTGGATGTGAGTATGTATTTATTATAAATACCTCAAGTTTGATGATGGTTATGAAGTTTTGTTCGACGTCTCATTATTATTAACGTAAATTTAGTCATAGTTTTATTATGTGTTGTTTAAATTTTAAAACATCTTATATTGAGATTAGATATTTCTCATGAATAATATCAGAGGACAGTAGATATTAAGAAATGTTTATCAAATTTTGGATAAGACTAGTTAAGATATCAGTCAGTTGTCTTACTACTTGATGACAAAATATCTTTTTAATTTCTGAAAAATTATTAGACTGAAGAAGCTTTACAAGCTCATCGTTTAAATTCACAACTTGGTGATGATTTAATTAGAGCTGAACAAGAAGAAACTCGTAGAAAACAATCACAAATTCAACTTCGAAATGAATTAGACACACAAATAATGGAACAAGTAGAATTACGAAAAAAGGTTTATCAAGAATTTTTACATGATAAACAAATGGTTGATGAAGTTGTCAAGCGAATAAAAGAAGAAGATGAATAGTATGTCATTTATGGTTTATTAACTAATTTGAATTATAGATGGACTCATAAATTATGACAGTGTTATTTTCTTTTATACTGTTAAAATAATTGAAAAAACATGTGCATACACATTCTTCGAACTGAAGTTATTTTGAACAAATTTACTCTTCAATTTAGCTTAGGATGAAGAAAATTGAGTAAACAAATAATGTGCATTAAAATCGATCATTTAAACATTTCTCACTTGTTGACTCTTATAAGTGTTACGTCCTCTGAACAAGATGGTTTGATTCTGATAATTTATTGTCTTTCGAAATGTCATCATCATAAACGTCAAGAATAGGGGTTCATAGTAAGATGACTCTCTATTTTATTTTAATGACTTTCAACGAAGCTGAAAAACAACACTAGTTTCCTTGTGTTATTTTTACATAATCTCAAACATACTTTTACTGTTTGATGGATTAGCTGATTGATAAAACTTTTTTCAATATATGGTCTAACCACTGATTGACTAGATTTATTAAACATTAAATTGTATAAAGTTTAATGGTTGATAAATTTTTATCAAATAAGTAATTCATAGTAATACTACTTAGATTGAATAATTTGTCTGTTAACGTTAGATTCCATTACTTTGTGTACATTCATTTATTTAATCAGTTTATAAGTGATTATATCCTTTGAAATCTATTTTAGTTAAAATTTAAAGTAAACTATCAGTTAAGCAATCATAGTCATTCATGAGTTCAATAATGTTATCGAGACATTGTTTGACTATTTCTCAACTGTATATTTCACTTTTTCTTCTAACTTAATCATCAAAATAGTGAACAGCAAAAACGCCAAAAAAGAAAAGAATTAATTCGTCAAGAAATTAATCAATATCAAAAGGAACGTGAAGAACATATAAAAGCTGAAAAAGAAAGTCTTCAAAAAGAATTGGAAGCAGTTAATGCATATACTGCTAAGAAAGATAATGAAGAACAGTTAATTAAAGCAGCACTTAAATCAAGACAAGAACATATTGAAAAGTTACAAGTAATTTTTTGAATTATTTTCAATTGTTAGTGTGTTTCTATTTGTCATCATTTGTTTAACCTGACCTTTGAAAGTAAAGAAAACACATAGATTGTTAGTTCATTTTGTATTGTTTGTTTGAATCTGCTCATCGTTGTTTAGGACTGCGATTGGTCAAATATGAATCCTATGCGGATTGCCTAGATATTGCCTTAAGAGACTGATCAATTGCAGTTCTAAACATTAATAGGAAGATTCAAGCAAATAATACAAAGTGAATTAAAACTTCACCGCAGTGCATAAGTTAGTGGATATCCGTACTCAGTAGCTGAATGAATAACGCGATAACGTTTGAAGCGGACGATACTGAGTTCGGGTCCCAGAGAGAACAACAACTCTTTGGTTTATGTGCATCCAAATGACGAGTCTCAAATAACATCCTGGATTCCACTGCTAGCCACTGCTCACCTTTGCTCAGATTTTTAGTGTTTGATCATAATTAAAATTTTATGGGAGTTTCAGACAACTCAATTATTATTACAAAATTATATGAATAATATTACAAACCTCTATTTCTGATGTGTTTTTGGTAAATACCCTATAACCAAAAATGGATGCTTGCTAAAGGGATACATAGGGTTTAATTAACAACAATATACTATAGATGCAATATGATATATCATAGCTGTAACAAAATTACAAGAATAAACAATGGTAGAAAGTGGAAACAGAGGACACCGAATTGGAAATTTTCATAAAATAAAAACTTCACCCATTCTGGTTACAAAAGACTGGTGAGAATGAACATAATATGTATTATTTGCTTATTGGGTTACTGCGAAATAATAAGAAACTAATATAATCTGAAAAATGATCATAATTGACTAGTAGATTTGATATGATTGTGAGCAGCTAATGAGCGACATCAAAATATAATGAGTCCGTATTATTATGTCCCGATATTTATTGTAGCTTTATTCATATTTCGACGCTTCCTGATTGTCAATGGTTTCGTAGATGATGTCAGTTCTTAATGAAAACTAAATTCCGAAAATAATTGTTGGTACTTGAAGATTCGCTGATCTATTAACAATATTCGTGATCTCTAATAACTTCATAAAATGAAAGATATTTTCGAATTAAATACTTTAGTATACTAAAAAAAAATTTTCTGTTCAATCAACAATGTAGGATGAACTAGGCAAAAGTCTGTTAGAAAAAGAAAAAGAACGCAGAGAACTCGAAGAAATACGTCAAACATTAATTTTGGAAGAAAATGACAAAAAGATTAGAGAAGAACGAGAAAATCAATGGATAACAAAGTTGACTAATCAACGGAAACTCTATGAAGATTATAAAGAACAACTTTTATTGAAAGAAAAACAAAAGCAGGTAACCATAAAATTTCTGTAGAACTTGTAACCCATTGTTTTATTCAATATTTCATTTTTGTTTGTCATATTTCTTGTGTATTTTAGTTGAATAGTTCATAATAATCGTAAAACTCTCTGGTAAATAGTCTCAATTAAATGTATATTTCAGTAGGTTATAAATTTAAAGAATTAGTTTATATTCAAAGAATCATTTCTTTGTACTGTCAGTTTCTTACATCTGTTTGTTTAGATAATTTATAAACTCTTACCTGGATATAATAAAATAATTTTGAATGGAGTAACTTACCCTAAATAAATCTTTGATATGAAAGAACACTTCAACTGGTTAATTTACACAATCATAACATTTTAAACATGGAAACAGTGTCCTCTTAAGTGATCATGTTACTTGTATTATTGAGTTTATATGTGTTTTGTTAAGGCAGTATTTGATTCATTTCCTAATCCTATGTAATTCACCAAATTGTTTTTTATCGCTGTTTTATAACATTTTAATTTTTTTCTATCATATATCATTATTCATGAATCCTTCTATGGAACACTATTATTTTCGCAATAATGAAATCGAACTAACAAACTACATCGGTACTTCAACAATATTTGTAACAGTATGAACATACATTAGAATAGTATCAAACTTATAATTCGATTATTACATGCAATTAGTTCCCTTTATGAATTTAAATAAAGCCAGAATAAACATTGATGCAGAATAATATGAATTCATTATATTTCGTGGTTTCTCGTCAGCTGCTTACAACCAAATATGTATTGGAATTTCGCATTGAGGTAAGAAATAATATTGAGCAATTGACATAAATGAATGTAAAGGATATATATATATATATATACAAGAACAGGTCAGAGGTTATCTGGTGTTAGAATTAAGGATGGGTGGTGTAACAGTTGAGTGGAGTTCAGAGATAGATAAGTTGTACGTTAATTTTAGAGGTAAGCAGCTGACGAGAAACCACGAAATATAATGAATCCATATTATTCTGCATCAATGTTTGTTCTGGTTTTATTTAAATTCGATTATTAGTCAGATACTCAAGTTAATGTACTAATGAGTGTAATTTGGTTAAATATTAGTTAGAAATATATAGGAATGAATAGGAATTGAAATATAGGTGCGTATATAGATTAAAATTTAGTCCATAGAATATTTACAATAAGATAATGAAACTAATATACAAATAATCACGTGTACATGAAAATGTACTTAGATACGAATTCGTAATTGGTATACACTAAACAATAGAATTAAAATCAAGCATTTCATTGTCATATGATTGCCCAGTCTTACATAAAGTTTACATAAGTAAATTTTTGTATAAACTGGTCAAGTAAACTTATCATAAAAAAATATTTTAAACTTGACTTATGAAGTGTACTTCTGATATAAATTTGTGGATACAAGTTAACTTATCATAAGAAGGATTTTTTTTTCTTCTTCAGCAAATCACTCTCCATTAGATATGTACCTGGTATAACTACTTATACATTATATGATAATACAATAAGTAAATAATTCAAACCTTTAAGTGTATTAATTATTCCGCAGATTTACTGTTCATCTTAATTAGGACTAATTGAGTGAATAAAATGATGAAATATTTATTACTTGAATCCACATGATCTGTCGAATTTCATTTAAATTGTAAAATGATCAGTGATAATTCAGTGTTTTATTTTTTCTTAAACTGATTAAATAGTTATCGTTTGAAATCATGAGTCAGTTGAAGCTAGACCACCATTGAAAACCTGGAAGCACTGGAAGGCCGTTTCGTCCTGGTATGGGACTCCTCAGTAGTGCGCATCCACGATCCCGCACCACGCGGGGCTCGAACCCAGGACCTACTGGCTTCGCGCGCGAGTGGATTGGTTGAAGTTAGACATTAACACCGTTGGATGCCGGCTCAGTGGTCTAGTGGTTAAGTGCTCGCGCGCGAAGCCAGTAGGTCCTGCGTTCGAGCCCCGCGTGGTGCGGGATCGTGGATGCGCACTGCTGAGGAGTCCTATACCAGGACGAAACGGCCGTCCAGTGCTTCCAGGTTTTCAATGGTGGTCTAGCTTCAACTGACTCATGATTTCAACCTGTGAAATTTCTAAAATTCTCCACAAAACCCATTCTGATAATAATAATAATCAACTGCTCACTAGTGACTGACTTCAGGAAAAACTCCTGAAGTTCTAGTGAGAAGCCGTTACCAGTGGAGTTCAACCGGTCTGTTGTGAGATAACAACTCACTGAAGACAATGGTGTACGGTGGCGCAACTTCGTGGATTGGTTGAAGTTAGACATTAACACCGTTGGATGCCGGCTCAGTGGTCTAGTGGTTAAGTGCTCGCGCGCGAAGCCAGTAGGTCCTGGGTTCGAGCCCCGCGTGGTGCGGGATCGTGGATGCACACTGCTGAGGAGTCCCATACCAGGACGAAACGGCCGTCCAGTGCTTCCAGGTTTTCAATGGTGGTCTAGTTTCAACTGACTCATGATTTCAACCTGTGAAATTTCTAAAATTCTCCACAAAACCCATTCTGATAATTATCGTTTGATTAGTGAATTGAATATATTTCACCCTATTTTAATGGTGATCTAGGTTAGGTAATCTAATCGGTGATATCTGATAATGAAAATTGATTAGATATGCCTCCATAGCAAATAGGTTTTTTTAAAATAAAAAGTTAAAATCAGAAGTGGTTTTGTGGAGATTTTAGAAATTTCACTTATTGAAATCATGAGTCAATTGAAGCTAAATCACCATGAAAAACCTGGAAGCACCAGACGGCCGTTTCATCCTAATATGGCGCGAGACTGATAGGTCCTGTGTTCGAATCTCACGGAGTGCGGGATTGTGGATGCGCACTGCTGAGGAGTCCCATACTAGAACGAAACGGCCGTCCAGTGCTTCCAGGTTTTTCATGGTGATTTAGCTTCAATTGACTCATGATTTCAATTAGGCAAAAAGTTAAAAGTTAATAATCGAGAGTCAAATATAGATTCTTATGGTAGATTTTAAGCTATAATTATTATATGATATTTTATAGACATGATTCAGTTGACAGTACCTAAGTGGAATACATTTGTAACATGTAGCAAAACTTTTCATGCTCTTGTATTCAATTCTTTGTACTATAACCTCATGAGTAAGCGAACTATAAAATATAGGTTTGTTTTTTAAACAAGAAGAGTAAGATCTAAATACAGATTTTCAGTCTATATGTTCAAGATTAAGATATATATGTTGATTCTTTTTAATGGGTTTCTGTCACCTAGTTATATATTGATTAAATATATCTATGATCTAGACAGTGTTCCTTATAGTATTTGGTGAAACTAGTTGAACACTTGATAGAAAAACTAATACTCCGCCGATCCTTCGTGGTTTTTTTAAACTCTCCTGCTATTTCTCCTTGGTCGTTACAGCTCGGTTGGAATAAAAATAGTGAATATATTGATCTAAGAGTTGTTTCTTCAGATCCGTTATATCTTAATTAACTTGTGATTGGATAAAGAGACGTAGTTTGTCTTCTAGAGTTGTTCATTTTACGGTGAGCCAACCATCCCATGGATCGAACACTCAGAGGTCCTGAAAAATATTTTCAGCAAACTTGTTTCACTTCTTTCATAGAAGCTACTAGTATATTAACAGTTTCTGACTCACTTCAAGGCAATACTGTATAGAGGATTTTCAACAGGTTGCTGTCTTTGTGTAAGTAGTACGTAAAACCACTCTCAAAATAAGCTGTTCGTAAATTGCAGAGAAATTCTAATATCTCTTCTCTTTGAAGTACGAGCTGATAATGTTCAAAAATTCAATTAAGGCTTCGTAACTAAGCCATCCGGCTCAGAGACCACAACCTTAGCCATTTTCTATCCACTGATTTCAACGGGATGGTAAAATGCTCTGATCTTCATAACTCTGTATGACTCTCAGGTCACTTCTATTGAAAATCAGTGCCAGATATATATTGAGAACTTCAGACGTACTGTTACCTGCTTATTTAATTAACATGAAAAAACATACCTAGCTACTTATACTAAAATCAACCATCTCTTACAATTTAGGTGAAGTCTGAAGAATAATTCCGAAATGATTTTTATTCTTAACTGCTCTTACTCCTCACCATATTCCACATGACTACTTAAAAGATACTTAGATTTTGTGATACTAACACTCAGTGTTCAAGTAGAAAGAAAATTTCTAAATTTAAGCGCTAGTTAAACAAACAAAGAAGTTATACTTCAGCTAAATGCTGTTGATGGAATTCTATTGGCCTTCTCTTACTAAAAGCCAACGTTTTTAACACGAAAAGCATTGATAGAGCTGTTCTGACCTCTAGTTATTGTGTAATAGCTTTTTATGGCATAATGAGCTTTTCGAAAACTTTTAAAGAGAATGCGACAGCTCGAGGCAAGGGGTGATTTTAAGTTAGTTGACTGATTTTGGATATATTATTTCAAAGTTATTTTCTATGATTGGTTATGTTATGACTTTAAGTTGTGTCGAATTTTACCCTGTGCTAATTGTTGTGTCCTTGACTGGAAAATTAGAGAGCAGCGTACTTATCGATCGATTACAGTGACACGTAAACACGTACGGACGGCCTAGAGTCTCGATTGGTCCCACTTCCCTGTCTAGCCCAGTTAGTTGAGTTCAGAACACAAGCCACAGCCTCTGAGATATGAATCATTATATTTCAAACATACTTTGTTTATATATCAATCAAGCATACCACATCGTACCATAAAATAGAAAACAACATTTTGTACAATATTCAACAAGTGAACAGATATCGACCAATAGGAAATGTTCATTTAAAGTCCAAGGACACCATTGGACTTAACATGATAATTATTGGTCTATTCCTCCGCATCCACAACAGGTTATCATCAAATATGTAATCACTGAGAACATAGAAAGGTTATAGACTAAATAATGATTGTAAAAGTTTTTACTTTTCTATTGTTGTTATTCTTGACCAAATTTTAACAGTCACTGAATATATGGGGTCCTTGGACAAATATTTCAGTATCGCCTGGATTTACGTGATGATAATTCTGGTGGTGTTTAGCAAGAAGACCCAAGATACAGATACATTCCATTGATGAGTCCTAACTGAGATGGCATGTATGTCTCAGGTGAAAACCAGAGTTGTATATATTTTTTGTCTAATGATTATCTGGTCCTGCTATGCCTATTTAGTTGATCTCGATGGTCTGGGTAAAAGCTAATTGCACATTCCAGTGGTCTGTGTTATTTTATACAGTCATTCATTTAGCCATGTTACTTACAGAAACCGATTTTGTAATGGCTAAATATACTCACTTAATTAGCCTAAGTATATGCTGCTTACCAACCGCTACAGAGCTAAATGGTTTCTTAATTGATTCTTTTCACATCAAATAGATTGAAAAACAAGAAGCTTTACAGATTCGAAATTATATGTTAGCTAAATTTAAAGAAGACGAACGTTTAGAACAAGCAGAATTAGAAAAACGTCATCTTAAACGAATGGAATACGCTAATGAAGCACATAAATTGTTAATTGAAAAACGTCAACGTATAATGCAAGAGTATGAACAGGCGAAAAAAGAGCTAAATGCAGAAAAACAACGCATTTCAGAAGAAAAACGAATTGTGGAAGAGGAAAGACAACATTTACTAAGACAACATGCAAATAATTTATGGAATCATTTGCCCAAAGTAAGAGAATCCATATTTTTCTATTTATATTTCGCCTCCTACTTATGGCAGTTTCAAAATGTGTTGGAAAGAAATTTATAACTGCAAAACGAACCAATATCTGTAGTAAAAGGCTGTTATATATAATGATTGACAATCCTTACTCTATTGATTTTCGAACTAACGTAAACATATCCTGTCTCGTTAACGGCTCCCACATTATCCACCACGAACAACAAAGGCCTCATCTTTTTTATGATTCATTCGATTTTGAAACCAATCAATAAATAGAAATATGAAATTGATTCGAAGTATTAACCGCAATTATAAAAATGTCGAAATTTAATAATGCTATTATTAATTACGTTAATACCAGTGTAATTTATTGGATCATATTTTATACATCAAATCGGTTGAAAGCCAACATGTGAGAGCAGATTCGTAGGTATTTTTCTAATTCCAAGATTTTAAGCAAACTCATTACGACTTGGAGTAATAATAACTGTTCAACATCAGTTTAATCCAAACTGTAACACAATATAGAATAAAGTTGATCAATATTTTACTGATAAAAATGTAATCGGTTTATATCTGCTGAAGCTTTAATTATGATCATGACTCTTCACAATCTCACTATTTTTAAAACAAAGTTGAAGTAGTTGAGTTCTCATCTATAGCACACTCCTACAAAATAATACCCACGTTTTGAAATCCGCAGGCTGTTGGATCCTCATGAGATGGTAAGATTTACTAACCCATTTGAAAAACCGATACATGTATAATACAGCGAAGAGTCAGTCAAGTTCAGAGGAACAACCTTTCATTTTTGAGAAAAAAATCAAAGTAAAGCAGGCTGTCATCTACCCTATAAAAACATTATAGAAACACAACTATGTAGTGGGAAGAAATTCCGGTTATCAAAGGGTAACGACAGATTAAGAGCAAGAACACTACGAATGCATATTCCCTCTGACTTAGGTTGTATACAACACATAAATCGTCGTATTTACGTTTCTTTTTTCAAAATATACGCCAGAAAAGGCATTATGAAGACGATAGTTAACAACCTGTAAAACTTTAAGTGTCCCTGTATATGATATGATTAGAAGTTTGACTATACTCAAGTAAATGACATTCTATGAGATTGAGATGAGAAGGATGGTGAATTCAAAATATCTATGTTCTTCATTTAAAGTTTTATTGATTACGTAAAATCCAGTGTATCCATGGGACCATGGATTAGTGCTTAGATCACTCACCTCTTAAACACCAGGTTTCAAGTCCGAAGCCTGTATTGCCTGACAGTGGTAGTTCTATTAACTGCCATGCAAAAATATCCAGTGCAAAGCATAATACATTGACTTCACTTGGTAAGTGGGCTTTATTATAACGATCATTATAATACTTATCGATGATTCTAGTTGGTACCACAACGAAGATCGTAACAGTAAAAAGCCAGCCAAACGCCATAGAATAAGATAAGATCGGTAAATCTACTCAAGTATTAGTTCTTTTCTCCAAATTACTGCTTATTTAACTTCGATAAACACAAACAACTGATATATATATATATATATATATATATATATATATATATATATATATATAAAGATATTTATACTTTAATACTTTTACTGTTCTATTTTAAATCCATAAACAGGGTATTTTCCGATCAAAGGAAGAATATGAATCCCTTAAACATTTAAATTGTGAAAAATAAGTGTATTTACTTTCTTCAAACTAAGAAATCCTATCCCACATTTATCATAAAATACTCGTGATCTATTATTAGGGTTATATTTTAATTATGATGCATAAATTTCGATATTCAATAATAAATTATTTATACACACAATTTTTCATGATATTGTGTTTCATCCTAGCTTACAACAAATTAGAAGTTTAATAAAATCTTGAACATTTCAATACGATATACACTGTCATAATATTATTTAGTTTTTCTATCTAAACTCGAAAACCGTTTAATAAAAAGTTTACGTTTCACTGTTGATATACGGATAATACACTGATCTTCTTTGGAAGTAGTATCGAAAAGCTAAAGATTCTCAAGCAGTTTAATGAAGTACGTTCCCACCAGTAAGCTTACACGTGCAGGGAAGTGTGAAGATGACCTTCTTAGATGTTCTTATAACGGGAAAAACTGATAAATCAATAAAGAATTTTAACAGGAAAAGTAGTTAAATAAGGTGGTATACATACTCCGTATTTCTTTATCTATGAAATAGAAAGAAAACTTAGCAGGAACGCTTCGCTATAAAATAAAACCTATACTCCCTGCTGATGTGGTTAAATACGAGCTAGACTCCTGCCCCCAAATGCCCTGGTACGGCCGAGAGTGGGGGGAGTCCGCTCTCCCTCTCGAAATGCTCTCACATGGCCACGCGTATATAGCTTCTGCCAGGGAAGTCCTACTCACTGCCTTCTCGTAGCAGGGGTGTTGCTTACGAAATTGAGAGGACGGAAGGCGAATGTCCGGCGCTTTAACCGGATTCCAAACCAATGGTTCACATGGGCTCCAGTATCCTGCGGGAACAAATGGCGTATGAACCAATTGTTGGTCACCGGCTTTCATGAGACTGCATATCCATACGTTACTCCACCTTCTTGTGGATCAGACCTTTAGGTCGAAGGCTCGGGGTGTGGCCCCCTAAGAAAATCACCTGCTTCGGTTTGGGCAGTATCACAACCTTCTCACAAATCAAATGGGATTTTTGTGGCGCTATGTATTTGGTGCCTCCTTGTACCAATATATATGTGTTAAAATAATAAATAACAATAAGCTAGACTCCTTACATATTATTGTCAGGGAAAACGGATACCCCGGGAAATTCTTAAAATTCAATACATTGTTATGAAAGCTGTACTAGGTGAATTACGAACCGTGAGAAATCCATATTCAACTTCCGACAGCTCAGGTGACGCAACCAATGAAACATTGGTAAAGGGAATACATAAGTTAGTGCATAGAACATCCAATGCCTGAAGACTATAACCAGTGTTTTCCATGATCTGATGGTGATATCATCACCAAACGATGAAATACCTATAATAACCACCTCCTTTAGTATTGGTCATTTTAACTACTAAAGAGCAAATTACATTGATAGATGTTCATTGTCGACCTCGTGAACACCTTACAATGTAGTCAAGACAATGAACGGATCAGTTTCCGGCTGCTTGGTTCAAACCGGTTATAGTACCAGCGTAAATCAACCATTTTCAATATTCTGTCGGGCTAGTTATCTCCCAAAATGTCAGACTCAAAGTTTCTCAAGCGGTAGAAGCAATAGTTGTTCTGTTCTAGAAACCGGACCCATATGAAAAGAAGTGATGCTCAACCAGCTTTCTTGCATTGGCCAATAAAATAAGTCGCCTGAAATATAGAATGACTTAATTTGACTTGTGTACTTAAGGTATTTTTTTTGTATTTATTCCGTATCCATCGCTCAAATTATAAATCTCCCAAGAACGTGAAGAGTTCAGTTAGCGATCCTCCTACTACAATTTCTTACTGAATTTTTCACATTTAATCCGTAATTATTGTTTCTATCACTCCCTGTTGAGTGATTTTCTCTACTGAGTACCAAATCAGTTAGACGCATACAAAAGAAGTTCTCTGCACAAAGTAAACATTTATAATGGTATTATGTCAGAATGCATTTATTGTTAAATATCAATGACTGACAAGATTTTCTCATTAATAAGACATTTTACATATATGTGCGAACAAAGAAAGTGAATCTTGGAGAGAATATCACAATGTACATATATATAAGATATACATCAGAGAATTACTGATTAGTTGAAAATAAAAACTGGAAGGAAAGGATCAACTGACACAAGTGGTTATAAATAGTATGACAAAATATTGGATCAGATTTGGTGGGTTTTGCGTTCACATGTACTAATGGTAATAGTTTGTTTAAAAAAATAACCTTTAAGATAGAATGACATGTGACAAAGGTCAGTCTTAATTAAGTAAACCAAAATACTTTGAAAACTAAATTTAAATAGGAACTTGTATGAACTCACACCAAGGACAACAAACACATAACCAAAGCTAAAATAAAGATTTAAAAAGCTATTGCTAAAGACCTAATGAAGGAGATTTAGGTAGAAGCAAACAAACTGACAATAACACTTAGACATATTTCATCCGTGCAGACAATTCACAAGACTATGTCTCAGCCATGAGGATTATTAAATACAGGGGAAAAGAAAAACTTAGTAGAGACCAAGTGAAACATTAAATGATCAAAAATCGTTGAAATACCACAGTGATAAGGTGGTCTTAATCATCCTCTTCATTAGTTGAATTTGAAGTATCGGTTAAATAATCATCGCAAGTGCAACTACTCAGAGACGTTCCACTGTCCTCACTAGGACAATCGATTTCTGTATCAAGGGACATACACGACGAGGTTTTTTGTATAACGGTCCAATTAGAATGTTTTCTTGCATCCCACTCCAATGTTGAAGGTTGATGTGCATAGGAAGATGAACCAGATTCAGTCTGTTTAGAAGTAACACTGTTTGGATGCAGATGGTGTTCAATTATTTCTCCTACATTACGTAAATGCCGTGAGCGTCGACGAACAGCTACACGTTTGATACGTCGTAAAGACTTTGGAGGTGGGTCATCTGGCCTGGAGAGGTAATGCTGAACGCAGTCGAATGGGATATTCTGCGAATGGAAAATGATACAGAAACTTACAGTAACTGAGAACACTATGAAAAAGGTAATATAATGTGCTTGGCTTAAACAACACTAGAAAACCTATAGTGTGATAGCTTAATGTAATATTAAAGTAGATACTCTCGGTAACGTTTTTGGGACTATCACTTTCCATGTCTAGGTCAAATTATATTTACTGAGGTTGCTCACTCACAATACTTTGGTCCCAAATTGTATTAATTCGCTTTCTCAAGGAAGAAATTCTGAGTGACCTTAGGTACACAGACTTGATTCAAGCATGGTCTGATGCCAAAATCCAGTACCTTGGACGCATTAAAGTAAGTGATAGGACTGTATTGGTTGGAAATTATGTTAATACTAAGTCTTGTTAAAGGCGAAATGGTTAACATCACCATTATTGAGTAATGTTCATTTTTAACAGCCAACTCAACCATACGGCCGCAGAGAGCAAACTAATGGGCAAATAAATGATATATTTGTAATATCCCAATGAGTAGCAAATTAAATCTGACGCTTCGTAACTCAGTGTAAGTCACTTTTTCAGAGAGTAAAAATAATGGGCAGTATATTTTCTTAATGACGATGGAGTCCGAAGTGATGTCGGCTTTTTAAACATTGAACACAGGATATTTCTATTTAATAGTTTCGACTATTGCTTCCGAAATATATTTTTTGTTTTGCTTCTTGGTATCTATACTACTAATAACTCTATCCTCAACACTTTGATTTTAATTTCTCCCGTCTGTGTTGATGTGAAGTGTAGCAGATCTGATTGATCTTTATTTGCATCAGCATTAAAGTTATCTGACTGGTTTGTATATATCTATGGGTAACAATAGAAATATAAAATACAAACTGAAGGCCCCATACATATTTTTGGAAGGTGCTAACAAACTTTTAATGATGCGGACATATCTACGGCTGGTACATGTTTCCGGATCTTGGCTTTCCAGAAAATCAGATGACCATCCCATATTTTAAACCCAACATAGTTAGAAATAAACTCAGGGAGAAACATTTTTTTATGTTCAGCAGATATATTTCAACAGACGCAAACGGTAGGGACTGTAACGATAAAAGGAGCCGATAGCGCTTCATGAAAGGTACGACGTTTGACATGTAACTAGGTTGAGACGTGTTATTATGTGGGTCTAAACGATTGGTGGAAAGTTTAAGTAATCCTAATTGTTTCTGTTGTCTATGAATGACCAACTTAAAAGATATTTTGGAAAATTCTTACAAGTGTCTAGACTTTAGCACCGTGAGAAGAGCCAGGATTCACTGCTGAAACAGAGCATGGGTTGACATTATTAAATTTAAGGACATTGTCTTATGTTTGACAACATAGGAGAAAGAATTCCCATAACACCAGGAGAACTGATACAGACCCTTAAACTTTATATCCTTATCCCTAAATCATTTTTTGTACGAACTAATGTAAAAAGTACTGGTTTTCGGAATCTTGTTTCCATCTATCGAAAGACTGATATTAAAACCGTAAACTGACGATCGTTTGGTAAAGTTTTCTTAATGGATGAAACGTATTTCTTTATCCGCTAATTCCTACTTCAAAAGGTACAATCATTTTCAATAACTTCCTAAGTCTAACAAAATGGGGTATACCGTAGCCCGTTTTGTCTTGCTGATGACTTTATCCTAAGACACATCTGTTCTTGGATTATGGCAGAATGTTGTCTCATCATTGGGGACTTCAACGCACCGCATATCAACTGGATAGAGCTTACAGCTCCAGGTAGTGGTTTCGATAGCGACCTTTTATCTACCGTTATTCAGTGTGCACTTGTGCAATGTATCACAAAACCGACACATATTGATTTCAATCATGATCCGCCACTGCTGAACCTCGCCCTCACCCACCACTGTGAGGATGTCTTTGATATTCAGCACCTTCCCACACTAGTGAACAGTGATCACGTTGTAATTCACTTTAAGTTTAGGACACATAGTATACAATTCGTATCTGCTCCACCCCGTCCCAATATCTGACGAGCCAATATTCCGGCGATCAGAAACTGTGCTATCTCGACTGATTGGTCGGTCGACGAGGATGGATTGATCGAAGATGAGTGGAATAATTTTAAGGCTACATTCGAGTCCGTAACGTCGCCGTTTATCCCATGGTCAGCACGTAAGCTATCACACTGCCCTCCATGGATTAATAAGGAAACCCGGAAGCTGTTAAAGCGTAGGAAACATTTCTGGGAC